GTGGCTATATAAGATAAATAAAAGAATATATAAATACTTACAGATTTTTAATGTCAACAGCTCCACGGAAAGCCTTCCTTGGGATGGCGTGTATCTGGTTTTCACTGAGGTCCCTAAAAAAAAAGATAATAAATAGCTTCCAAGGATATTTTTGCTTAAGAACAGTTGTATCAAATCAACCCAAATTTTATCAATTCACACACACACACACACACACACAAAATCTACTTAGTGATACCCAATTGTAAGCATAAGGGACATTTTAAAGACTCTTAAATGTTTGTGTTCAACATAAAAGGAAGAAGAAAGCAGCAAATAGTCAGCAATTAGCATTACATAATTTCCCAATGCTTATATTAGAACATAAGGTGGCTCAGTGGCTAAGGACGCTGAGCTTGTTGATCGGAAAGGTCAGCAGTTCGGCGGTTTGAATCCCCGTAATGAAGTGAGTTCCCGTTCTTTGTCCCAGCTTCTGCCAACCTAGCAGAGTTTAAAAGGACGTAGAAAATGCAAGTAGAAAAATAGGGGCCTCTTTGGTGGGAGGGGAACAACGTTCCATGTGCCTTTGAAGGCGTTGAGTCCTGCCGGCCACATGACCACGGAGACGACTTCGGACAGCGCTGGCTCTTCTTTGGCTTTGTAATGGAGATGAGCAACGCCCCCTAGAGCCGGAAACGACTAGCATGGACGTGCAAGGAGTGGAACTTTTACCATTACCTTAAAAAGTATACATACAGGTAGTCCCCAACCTAGGACTACAATTGAGCCCAAAATTTCTGTTGCTATATGAAACATTTGTTAAGTGAATTTTGCCCCATTTTACTATCTTTCTTGCCACAGCTGTTAAATGAATCACTGCAGTTGTTAAGTTAGTAACGTGGCCATTAAGTGAATCTGGCTTTCTCATTGACTCTTCCTATGTTTTAGCCTCCAGCCCCCTCATCATCTTTGTGGCTCTTCTCTGCAATCTTTAATATGAATATGGCACATTCCTATATGAGTCCTTCCAATTCTCCCAGGTGCAATGAAATGAACGTGTAAGAAAATACTTCTTTGCTTCTTTCCAGTGTTTTCATCATGGGAGTGAATAAATTGCTGCAAATGTACAGTTTGCAGTGGAATTTACGTCACGTTTTTGATTAATTATTGAACCTGCAGCTACACAGACTGCAAAATGTATTTATGAAAGTGTGCATTTACATTTGCACATCAGAGAAATAACTGGAGGATAAACTAGAACAAACAATGGTTTCTACGCACGTTTTAGAAACCTTGGCAAATTTAGAGACTATTTTCAAACAGCAAACTGTATCCAATTCAAAATAGAGGAAGCTAAATTTTGAATTCAATTTTGAATAAAAAGTTCTAAGTGAATAGTCATAATAGATGTTATTGTCCATTTACTGAACAAACCGGGGGCTCTACTAGGGATACATATATATATATTCCACCTCTTTGCAAGGAAGTCAGCTCTGCACTGCAGCTATTTTATTGCTCACCATCCAATATCTGAGTTGAATATGCTATTTACTTTACAAAGCACAGGACGCTATTATTTTAATTGTGCTAATGGAAACTGCTGTGTGCAGTGGTGAAATCATGCTCTTCCAAAGTTGGGATAAGGGACCTTTCCTTCCCTGCATAGTTAAATCAACATTACTTTAAGGCAATAAATTTTCTGTAGTAGGCACACCTGCTTCTAAATTTAATTACTGGTAATTCTATTTTCCCTTTATGGCTTAACCTCTCTTAAGAGACTGATCACTAGTACCATAAATCTACAAAAGCATTCAATACTTTGCAGAAACTACCCGGTTGCAGTGGAAGGAGTAAAAGGTACTTATTTTCTGCGGTCACAGTAGTAAGCAAGAAGCACAACTGAGCACCTAAAATCGAGTCCTCCGACAGAACAGGCAATCCTTCACTTATGACCACCACTGAGCCCCCAAATTTAAAACAATTGTAGGCAGCCCCAAATTTCCCACGCTAAGTGAGGCCTTCGCTATGTGAGTTTTGCCCCATTTTGTGATCTTTCTTGCCATCGTTGTTAAGTGAATCACTGCAGTTGTTAAGTTAGTCACACGGTCGTTAAGTGAATCTGGCTTCCCCATAGACTTTGCTGGTCACAGAAGGGGATCATGTGACCCCTGGGAAACACCGCAACCATCGTAAATACAAGTCAGTTGCCAAGCCTGCAAATTTGGATCATGGGACCTTGGGGAGGCTGAAACGGTCGTAAGTCCCTTTTTTCAGTGCCATTTTAAATTTCGAACGGTCACTAAATGAACAGTTGTAAGTCAAGGACTACCAGTGCTATCCTGATAATAGAAATTCTAAATCTAAAAAGAGGACCACAATGAAGTAGGGAGTTTCTCAGCTGAGTATTGTTCCAGTTCACTGATGGCGAACCTTTTTGTTGTGGTGTGGCAAAAGCGCGCGTGCGCGTGCCAGCACCCACAATGCAATGCGCTTTGCCCCCCCTGTGCATGCGCACATACCACAACCCCTCCCCCTTACCTGCACTGAGCATGCGCGCGCCTCCCAGCTGATTTTCGGCCTGTTTGAGGCTGTTTTTGCCCTCCCGGAGGCTCGAGGGAAGCCTCTGCAGCCTCAGGAGGCCGAAAAATGGGCCCGTTTTGGCACTTCCGGTATTTCCAGAAGGACCATTTTTCAGCAGGGCAGGTAAGTTTGGCTGGGGTTCATGTGCCCTCACAAATGGCTCTGTGTGCCACCTGTGGCATGCGTGCCATAGGTATGCCATCACGGTTCTACTTGGTCTATCTATTGAGAAATTAACTAACCACATTTCCCCATTATATAGACCGGTAATGAAATGTCTGCATGAAGGAAACCAAGTTAACAGAATAACAAAGCCCAAGCAGGAGACCCTAGACCAGACTTCAAGAGTTGAAGTCCACAAGTCTTAAAGTTGCCAAGTTTGGAGACCTCTGGCACAGACCATTTCAGGCTAATGGTTGTCCAATCTCTTCTTAAAAACTTCCAGGGTTGGAGAACGTACAACTTCTGGAGGGAAAGGTTTTGGAGAAGAGTTTGAACCCCCCACCCTCTTAATTGCAGCAGCCTCTGAGATATTCGAAGAGTATTAGATATAATAGGAAGAACAAAAATTCGAAAGAAACTTTAGGATCTAAAAATTCAACCCTGTGTCACGTTTATTCTCCACTGGTGATTCTGTTTTCTGAAGATGTGCTGTTCTACTTAATACTCTAATATCTGAAGGGGTGTGACTTTATTTCATTGCCTCTATCTACAACATTTTTGATACCTAAATTGTAGAGTTACATCTGGTGTTAACTTGGAATTATATCTCTACTTCCACTGTCGAAAGAGAGGCTTATGATATGGCGAGGTGCATATAACATTTTCTCGTAATATATTTTCACAACTTGGGTGAAATAATAGAATTAGTTTGGGAACTAAAATAATTCTAGCATAGACCAGAGCCTTTCTTAACAACTTTGCTGAGATTTAATGCTCTAATTTACTCTAATTCAGAGTTTAAGTTACTGAACTCCAAACCCTTTTCTTAAATTTTGGAGTTTAAATTTTTATTTTGTAGTCCCTGTAATATAACACTGGTGAAATACAAATTCTTTTAAAATCTCCCATTTATTCCTGGAATAAACTGTAGCAGCATACTAGTAATTCTTGAAGTAGATCAATTCCATTCTCTGATGACTCCAGAAATGCACTTAGACTAATTTGCCAAGAATACACAGCATAACCCTGTTTTAAGAAGGCCGTAAATAGTATTCATTATAGAAAATTAAATTCCTAAGCAGATTTATTGTACATATTACAAAAAAGTTGCAATGGTTCAGGAAACCAAATAGTGATTATGATAACAAGAGAAACAAAGCAGTAAACATGATTTTCAGAAAATCACAGTGTGATAAAGACACTGTACTTTATGATGTATTAACCATCCCGTCGGAAAGACTGGTCCTGTGTTCTTTTCTTTTTTAAAAAAAATACAACTATTTAAATATGCTTTCCTTATATATCTTTATCAAGATTCTACCCCGTTGCTTACTTATTACTACATCGTGAACAAATTTCTGTAATGCTAATATATGGAAAATTTTATATATATGTAAGTTTCCCATAAAAAAATGCCGATTAAAAAAAGAGAGAGCCCAGAAGAGCCTTTCACAACTGAAGATCTGCAAGAGGTCATGATTGAAGAGGGGGGAGGAATATTTTTTAAACTTTTTACATGGTGTTTCTCAGCTGCTAGCCTGCTGATTTTCTGTTGTTGGGAATACCGACAAACATGAATGGTGTAAGTTATTTCACTGCATTGTGCAATTTCCACATTTTTTGCTATGTCTATGCAAGACTTCCGTGACACCTGAGTATGACAGGGGGGGGGAAAGGCTTTAACAGATTAACAGAGTTGGAAGGGACCTTGGAGGTCATCTAGTCTAACCCCTCTGCCCAAGCAGGAGACCTAGCCCATTTCTGACAAATGGCAGTCCAGTCTCTTGAAAGCTTCCAGTGATGAAGCTCCCACAACTTCTGAAGGCAACTTCTGTTCCATGGGAAAGTTTCTCCTTATTTCTAGATTGAATTTCTGTCCTTGATCAGTTTCCATCCATTATTCCTTGTCTGGCCTTCAGGTGCCTTGGAGAATAGCTTGACCCCCCCTTCCTCTCTGTGGCAGCCCTCAAATATTGGAAGGCTGCTCTCATGTCTCCCCTGGTTCTTCTCTTCCCTGGACCAGCCAGACCCAGTTCCTGTAACCCTTCTTCATAAGGTCGACAAAAGAATTCATAACTCTGAACCTCCAAAAGTTCCTGCTTTTTTTCCCCAGGAACTCCCATCTCTCACTGTGTACACAATTGCTCCAGAGTTGGAACTGCTCTGAATTCAGGGTAGGCTTTTCCTTGCAGGAAGCGATCCAATATCATTCTCACCGCCTGAGAAGTTCTTGCTTCAGCTCCTGCCCACCTAGTAAATGCATGTAGATAAACAGGCAGGGGTGGGATTCTACCAGTTCGGGCGAATCAGTAGCTCCGAGGATCAGCTGTGAGCGAACCAGTTCGCTCCGATGATCAGCTGTTGGAGCCACCCGCCTGCTCTACTCTGTGTT